TCCAAAAATCGCAAAAATTACAAAATGCGGAAGGGTGGAAAGACCTCGAGATCAACGGGTGACGACACCTGACACCAGACCAGCTCGCTCGGATGTATTTCGTGACAAAACTTGACATTCGAGTCCACGCATTATTGTCCCGATTGAACGACTCTGATTAGGAAGAAAACATCCTAACACATGTTTTAAAATCTAAAGGACGAGAAGCTATTTCGTATTCTGYCATAAATCAGAGTAATATTCTCTTTCCATAGGTCAGCTAAGTGTCATATTGTGTTATGTTTTACACAATATAACAATTGTAGGCATACAGAAAATAACAAAAAAACTGACAAACAAACGTGCTTCACCAAAGCCTTTTTCTTAAGAAAGAAAAAGTTCTTTGATGTTTGATCCTTTTATGCTCTCAAGCCTAATAAACAAGAAGGGAGATTTAATCTGTGAAACAGAACAGCCAACAAAGCTCTGAGCCATGTGTTAGAAAAAATAAATTACTTGTTARGATTGTAAAAGTTTAAGGCTGGACATGCTCTGGTGATCTCAGAGCTAGGGGCAGGTTAAAAGGAAAAAAAAGGATGTCTTCTGGTTACAAAGAATGCAGAATTTATGGGAAATCTGGCAGAACTCCCAAGATACAGAGGAAACTGATAAACCCAACTCGCTCCAAGTGGGTAAAAAGTAATTCTGGAAATTCTGTGACCCAAAAAACCCACTGACCCCAAAAAAGAGAGACTCAGCATGGTGCTAATTAGCATCAGGAGCAAATCATTAACGAATAGAAGATAGAATACTAATTAACAAGAGGACTGTGTAACTCGTAACAAATGAACGCTAATTCCTTTGTTTGCTAAAATACATAAACAGTAAAAAGTTTTGATGGTTGGTGTGCCTGGCCTGTGGGATTCCACTGAGCACCCAGGCTTGGCAAGGCTGCCATAAATCATCGCTGTCTCTCTGGAGCACGCAATCATCTCATTAGCGCACTCTGGGTAACAAATCTGATTTTTAAGGACWTTAAAAACCCCAAAACTCCCAAAAGAAYGAAGGCGCTGGCCCCAGCGCCGTCTGTGAATTCACAGCAGACCTGAAGGGGGCAAGCGCTGAACGCTGAACACAAACCAGCCGCACACCAGCTCCCCCGTTTTCCCCAAAACACGATTTTGGTGGTGTRTTTTGCCCCTAATTCAGCATTTTCTGCCCTCACCACTATTGTTTCACCCTCCATTGGACTCTGTCGGTGACGAGAATGACACAATAAATTTGTTGTCACACCAGCAGCGAATTCAGGCCGCCCGGTGACTCTGGTTATCACAAATTCCCTCAATTTTTGCCTCTGGCACGATGGGAGGAATATTTCTCCACAGGGAAAGTGCACTCTGATCTTCCATCAGTGCCCAGCATGGCCACTGTCAGCTATGTCTAAGCTAATTTTAAACAATTATAAATTATAATTCTTTAKTCTGCCAACAATCTGGCATTGTAAAATCCCACAATAAACTGTTTTTCCAACAAATAATGGGATGTGCCAATATATTTTATGCTGGTACACCTCTTTATGGAAAATATCCTATTTATTGCCTCACAATTTACTAATGTCACATTTCCACTGACAACTCATTATTAATGGTGATCTTATATACATTGGAAACCTCAAAACACACCCTCATGTCACTTTTTGGGGTGTATTTACCTAGAAATATTTAATGGTTTTAATGGATACACATTTATGCGTGCACACTTGCAGTCTGCTTGATTTTATTTAAATCACATCCTGCTTTTGGCAGACATCGGACTAGGTAAGGTTTTTTAATTCTCTTTTTTTTTTGTCCTCCCAGCCTGGGAATAGCAGATTTGGTTTTAATCAACCCCTTTCGCAGTCCTGAACTTTGTCCTCCTGGAATACAGCGCCATTCATTTAAGGATTTCCCTCCGTCTAATAAACATTAATGAACCGCACTTTACAATTCCCCCGTGATCTTATCTCGGTTTCACAGATGGGGAAAACAGAAACAAATTAAGGGGTCTGCACACACCACAAATCAAAGGCAGAGCTGGGGGAAGATCCTAGCATAATTCCCTGCTCCAAAAACTGGAAAATGTGTTCATACCCCTGCAGCTACTCTGGCAGTAGCCGTGTTGCACGGGGCAGCACGGTTACCTTTCCAGGAACATTGAAATTCCTTTTTTTTTCCTCAGGTTTAGCTTCCCACACAAATTCTGCAAAGTGATAGAGGGCCATGGCTCTGCCAGCTTCYTCTGCTGGATTATCCCTCAGGATGGGTTTATTCCCCTCTGAGCACAGGATCTCTTTTCTGATTAGCAGAGATCTTAGCAGGGTACGGGGAATATTCCAGTCCCTGCTGGTACACCATGGGGTTTCTCCATCCTGCCTGATTTCCTAGGGAATTTTCCTCTCGTAGCTCTGGACAACGTGGTCCATTCCATGACGAACATGGCATCCCTTGGTGCCTGTGGAGAAAACCACATCTATTAATTACAACCAGCAAGGAAAGACAGGTAATTGCCTCGTGCCTGGAATCTCTAAGTAGGTCCACTTTCGAGAAGAACAATCCCCGAGCTGTGATTTCAGCAGAGACACAAGAAACCAATGTTCCCTGCGAGCTGCACTCCTGTCAGACACCCAGCAGTTTTTCTGACAGCCGGGATTTTTGTGGCGCTGGCTGTGAGTCATTATTGAAGAAGTGTTATTCTTAAAACAGAGGAAGAGCGCTGGAGAAAGGAGGTGTTAGACAGGAAAAAAACCCAAACCCCTTTCACACCTCCATCTGCTGTCTTACAGTGCCTCGCTACCAAACATTTACAAATTGACGAGTTTTATTGCAAATCATGCTCCACTTGTTAAAAAACGCTTCTTTTTGAAGACAAAATCAGACATTTAGCCTTTCTTCTCCACAATGAATAAATTTTCCTTGTGTTTAGCTCCGTGGAAAACAACAATTTCTACAGTGCAGCCTTCTGTCTGGGCAGCCAGGTTATTCCCAACTGCACTCCCTGAAAAAAAGGCTGCAGGAAACACAGCCCTGGCAGGAATCTGCACTGGTTTAGCTGGGTTTGTTCTGCAGGTGGGCAGTGTCTGGCCAGATCCAGGCTGGAGGTTGCTCTGGTGGAATACAACATAGCTATTTCTGTCTGGGAAGGGATTTGCAGTTCAATCTCTCTGCTGAGAGAACAACTGCAGCGTTGAGAAGCTCCTCAGGCAGGTCTCACTGAGCTRCACCAGCACAAAGGGTGACAGAACTGCCACAGCAACTGCTCATCCTCTGCTTGTTGGGCACACARCCCTGCCCAGCTGACGCTGAGGCCGATCCCGCTCCCCTTCCCAGCGGATCCGAGGGTGCTGGAGCCGTGTCTGCACATGGCCCAGACCTGCAGTGAGTCACAGTCACACCCTCGGCTCTCCCTGCCCCAGTTCTGCAAACCTTTCTGCACAAACATCACCGTACTCAGCAGAAGAGACCTGGCACACACTCACTGCAGGTGATACTCTTCAAGCCCTGCTTTCTCTTCAAAGTTGCTCTAGGAAGTGATTTTGTTCGTTTGCCCCCCTCACACGTATGCCTGCATTGCCCTTTTTAAATTTAACTCCAGTGTCAGACCTGCAGCTGTTTCCGAGGCCACATCCATGAATGATTGCTGCTCCCGCCAGGTGCAAGCATGAATAAAAAGGTCACRGGCTGGCGAGAGGATTAAGCTTTGGCTCAGCTGTTTGCATTCTCACACAGAGCACGGTCTGTCCATCCGTCTGTCAGCCCTCACGCACCATCCAGACAGGTGAGGAGCTGAATCTTGGAAACAATTCAGTGACGCTCACACAGAGCCACTGCATGGTGTCTGTGGTTTAAAAAAAAAAAGCTCCCCCAGCGATCCTCCGAGCAGCCTTTGGATCAGTGAAATTATCTGTGCGGAAATATAAATGCAGAATGGCATGGGAACAGTCTCCCTGGAGACTGGGGTAGGGCAGATTGGAAAATACCTAAATCTCTAAATGGTGTCTGAGATTTTCATGTTAAATTGGAACATTTTCTTCCCACGCTTACCTTAGGAGACGAAAGGAGGCAGCTTATGGGCACTTAGCACATAGGCTGAGAGAAAGCAGGGGAAAAAATCCAGGAGGCGTGGAGCAGATCCATCTCCCCGGATCTCCACCTGAAGTATTTCACTGACTCAAGGCCTTTTGTACCTGCAGCAGTGAAAGCTGTTGGCTATTTTAAGACCTTCTCACGCTCGCACTGCTCTTACAACCCATGGGAGTCTTACAATCTATTTCTGTATATTAGACATCCTTCCTCTTCTGGCTTCCTTATCAAATGTGCAAAACAATCAATAATTCACTTGGGCTCCACATTCCCATTAGAGTGCACCATGGCTCTATTMAAATCTATTTCTCTGACTGTAGAATAAGCAGATATCCTAAACCACCCTGGAAATGACCTCTTACATGTGACAGCACCTCCTGCCATCTGAAGTAGTTTTATTTCTCCAGCTGTTAAATCTAGGACAAAATACTACTCTTTTGTTCTATATTAAGACCGTGGAATAACAGCAGCTGACTTCCCAGCCTCTATCCTCGTGGAGGGGAGCACAGGATAAAGAATTAACCCCTGGCATGAGCTTTGCTCATGATAAGTCATTAAGAAAAGCCAGATCTCCTTGATGCCCTCTCTCGTTAGATAATGATGGACTGGAAGTTGCCTTCCTCCCC